TTACATGTCCCCTGACGGAGGGGGGTTCTAGTTCTGTCATCAGGGGCTGGGGTTCCGAATCCGGGTCCCTACCTTCAGTCTCCCAGAATAGTGAGATGCCTAGTAATGATCAGGAGAAAGATGAATGGGGGTTGGGGTGGGGGTGTGGGTGGATGATCGCAGGCCTTCTTGGATCTTTGACTCCAAGGCTCTAGGAACCTCTAGAAAGGATAGAGAAGCATCCGGGTCAGCAGAGAGCGCAGGGATGGGAGAGGGAAAGGTGTTCTGGCGTAGGGGAGGCATGGGTGTTGCTGGGGCCCGAGCCCCTGAGAGTCACGCTGCCCCAGGCCTGGCCCCCTGGAATGGATTGTTCTCAGAAGATTAGAGAGACTCCATGTCTGAGAGTCCTGAAACTCAATCTGTGTTTGGGTCTAAAAAGAAAATGGGAAGATGGGACAGGGCCTGGGGGTTAATTGGAGAGGAGGTCAGGGAGGCTGTGGGGTGCTAGCCTGAAGAGTCCCTGCCGCTCCTCACTGCCCCATCCCTCTGACCCGCCCCCAGGAGCCGTGGAAGTCCAGGTCCCAGAAGACCCGGTAGTGGCCCTGGTGGGCACCAACGCCACCCTATGCTGCTCCTTCTCTCCTGAGCCCGGCTTCAGCCTGGCGCAGCTCAACCTCATCTGGCAGCTGACAGACACCAAACAGCTGGTGCACAGCTTCGCCGAGGGCCGGGACCAGGGCAGCGCCTATGCCAACCGCACGGCGCTCTTCCCTGACCTGCTGGCGCAGGGCAACGCGTCCCTGAGGCTGCAGCGTGTGCGTGTGGCGGACGAGGGCAGCTTCACCTGCTTCGTGAGCATCCGCGACTTTGGCAGCGCTGCGGTCAGCCTGCAGGTGGCCGGTGAGCGCCGGAGCGGAGCGCCCCTCCTTGGCCCACCCTTCCTCCCTCCCTCAGCCCCTCACCCACTGCGCCACCACTGACCCCGAACCCAAGCCCTAGTGCCCACCCCCGTGCCACAGTCCCACACCCCCTTCCTCCACTGCGCCCGGCTGCCTTTGCCCTGCCCTTGACCCTGGTCCTCTGTCCACCCTCCAGCCCCCTACTCGAAGCCCAGCATGACCCTGGAGCCCAACAAGGACCT